AAATGATTTTTACAGATCATGTGTAATTTTCAAGAGATTAAGGAACTTTCCTAAAAAAGAGCATAAGAATGATGAAGACCTTATTAAATATTGAAGAAAACATATATAGTTAATTAGAAGAAAAATATGATAATATAAAAATAAATTAATTAATGAATAATAAAATCAAATATTCAAAATGAAAAAATTAGTTAAATTAATAGAGTAAAAAATAATAGATAGTAGAAAAAAAAACATAATAAATCCAATTAATCTGCAATTTTTACTAATTAATAAAAAATGTAGAGCTATGGAAAAAATAAATTTATAAAAATAATAAATTTTAAAAAATTAAAAATTGAGTGAAAATTAAGTTAAATTAAAAATGAATGACAATGAGAATTTCTAATATAAAAATAATACTGTAAATAGAATGAAAATTAAATATAAAATAATAATAATAATAATTTGAATAAATTAAATATACCTGTCTGTCAATTAAATATAAAGAACCTCATGAGATTAATATGAAGATTTTAAAAACTATTTTTATGAATAAAAATAAATTTTAAGGATATTAATAAAAAATGAATATTTACTTTTTTTAGATTATAAAATTATTTTTCCTTTTAGATCATTTTTTTTTTCTTCCAAATTATTGAATAGTAATTTATAAAAATTTAATTAATTATTAGTGTATCAATGAATTAATTCACTTCTATATCAAATTAATTTTGATTAAAAGAACAAATAAATAATAATAATAATAGATATCACAAAAAAGCTAGTGTAATATTTTATTAATATTTCTATTTAAAAATATAACAAGAATCAAATACAGTTGGGTAGCGATATGTTAAAAAAACTCTAGTAATGAGTTTAAGAACTTAAATTTATTTTTTATTTTCAAAAAAATATTTCTTTGTTTTAATTTTATTAACCTTCTTAAAAAAAAATTCTTTTAGTTGTTGTGCTTGATTGATAGATAGATAGATTGAATGGTTGGTTTGTTTGTTTATTTAATTATCTATTTATCTATTTATTTATTTGTTTATTTTTAATTAATTTTTTTATTTATTGATTAATTTACTTATTAATTTATTTTATTGCTAGTTTATTTACAAAATAAAATTTTATTTATAAAGTAATATGGATAATTAAATTAATTTTTGATATGAAATAATAATAATAATAACCAAGTTTAATATAAACTTAATGAAAATGACAAATAAGCGCATGCTAATTTGACCAATTTTAGCTTCATGAAATACTCATCTTATTTTTAATAGATGACTCTGTATTGTTTTAAGTTTTATCCTTTTATTTTTATTTTTTGATACTTATTTTTTTATTGAATTTTTGCTTTATTTTGACAAGAAAAAAAGACTTTGTCAAAAAAATAATAAAAAATAAAATTTTTTTAAGAGTAGAATTAATTTATCTCTTAACGCGCTATTGCTTTTAAAATTATTTTCATCTGGCAGTAAAGCCTGAGATAATTCTGGCAATACCGTTGCTCCAGAATATTTCACTTCCCATTTACTTTTTGAGGAAGATCACGATTTATAGGTCTCTGGATTTGGTGGATTCCGTGGATTCTACGGATTCGGTGGATTCCTATGTGTTTTTTTCAGCAAGTCTTTTTTTGTTTATAATTATGTGTGTCTAACAGACAAGAGGCAGCTGAACCTTTTTATATTATTAAATAAAAAATTCTATTATAAAATAATGAAAACGCAAAAAACATTGATAAATTTATAAATTAATGTAAATTTAAATTTTCAAAAATACTTTTTAAAAAATAAAACGTTTTTTCTTATTTAACATTCTGCTAAATCTGACATGCTCAAAATTTTGCGCTTTTTACACCAAAATGACCGCGCGAGCATGTAGATTTCGAATCTAGTTTTAAAATTTAATTACCTGTTGTAATCACTGAGATATTTAGCATTTTGTATCTAAAATTTCATCCAGCTATTTGATAGGTTTAAGCAAACATTCATCCAACAAATAGGTATTAGAAATGATCCTGAGAGAGCGATCTACATGAATATGTTAAAATTATTTTATTTTGATTAAGTTAAAATATTTTATAAAATCATGACAATATAGCGTAATACATTTTGAAATACCTCTTCTAAAAAATATTATTTTTTTAAAAAAACAAAAGTTTAATCTTTCCAAAAAAATATGGGGTCTTATAGTAGGGGGGGATCTTAATATAGAGAGTATACAGTAGTTATTCAAAATTATAAAATTTTTCCAGACAAACAACATTATGAATAATTTATTAATTCAATAATTAAAAATTTTTTAATTAATTCATTATTTTTTGGATATATAATACTTAACTAAATAATCTTAATTATATTAAAGTCAAACTTACCTGAATTACATACATGTTTCAAAAAATTTACAATGATTTATTTATGAAATTCTTATGTAACATGCATACAAATATAATCAAGTGTAAAATAATATATTTTCTTTTTAAAAATAAACCATGTTTTATTTAAGATTAGATATAGATTTATTGGTTACTCTCACTCATCTACAATAAATTGGATTGAAGAATTCTCAGAAAGCATAAAGCAAGGAGTGTAGACAATATCCTCTTCAGGTTAAAAGGGTAACTCTTTAAAGCCGAAGTTGTCGTGGGTAAAGATGACTTTGTTATCACATGGTGTTACTGTAAGAACTGTGCCCCTTTCATAATTTAACCTTTGGTTCTGATTATGGATTGATGCGTTGAATGAGGAATAAGTGAAACCAGGTGTTGAAAGCATAGCGTATCCGCATGAAGGAGAGTAGTTCTAAAATTCATATCTATAGCATCTTTTGACATGAATATCACGAGCACAAATACCAATCGAAACGAAACCTGAGAGAACTTTAACTTTAAAGGATTATCCAAAAATATCATCACCAATAGGAACATCAATCAAACCAATAAGGTTTTTACCAGGTTATGTTCTGCTAAAAACTAGGCTGTTTGGTTCTTATTTCATTTCTAAAGGAATGAAGAACTTGCTGTTCTTAATTGCCTCTGCAATTTTGAGCATGAAATAGTTAGGACTCTTAGATTTGTTGAGGGCATCAAGCTTATAGAGATCGATGTCTTATTTAGAACAGTTTTCTAAGGGCTTTTAGGACTTCAAATTAGAGTTTAAGTTAATCAATTTTTGGAGCTATTACGTTTAACTCTTAATTTATTCTTTCAATATTTCTACTTTCTTGATTTCTTTTTGACTGAGTTGTGATAATTAAGAAATTTCATCTTCCATCTTTAAAACACCAGCTATTTTTTCTTTAATTTCACTCACTTTACTTTAAATAGACTAAAATCCTTCTAATTTATTTGACATGCTAACACAACTCTCTAAGTAAGATTTAATTTCATCTTCTTTACTCTTTTGAGAATCAAAGTACTCCTTTACTTGATTGAGGAGGGTTTATGTGTCTTAGCCATTAGCGTTTCTTAAAATGTTTTAGATTTCTTCTAATTTAGAAAGAGTTTGTATCTTAGTCTGAGCCTCGACTAGTCCGTAGTAATTCTTCAAAGTCTCTTCTCTTTTTCCTTCAACAAATTGTAATAAAGAAGAAGATAATTCATCGTAGAAGCTATTAATTTTTTCAAGAGTTCCATTCTGAACAATATCAAACTTAATGTGAGGTAATAAAATTTTCTCTTGGTCAGCAAATTAAATAAGTTTCTAGTGTTGAGAAAAGGAATTGCTTATTAAAGTTCCAATTGAAATAAGGTTGAGCTCATGCATTTCAGATTATTCTTAGACACAAATTTCACAAAGAAGACGAGATTGTCCCCTAACTTCTTTAAGATTAACAAACAAATATTCGTAACCTTAGTGATTGACGCACATACCGCTCATTTAATAAATTTTAGCAGATTATACTTGTTAAATTTTAAGCAATTAAATCGGATTTATTAATTATAAATTTAATTTCCAATTCATAGATTAGTTTTGAATTCCTAGCTTTTATATAGAAAATTAGTCAAATTTTTAAAAAAATATCTTCTAAATTTTCAGAAATCAAAAATAATTCTGAAGCGTCTTATTAGGTTTAATGCAAAGACAAAATTAATTAAATCAAATTGTGGTTTTAAATGTAATTCTGACAAATAAAACCAGTGAGCAAATGAACAAATGAATGAATGACTCTGCTTACACAAGAAAATTAAAAGTATTTAGATAGAGCGAGTAGTTTATTTAAAACATGCATTTTCATAATGAAATAATAATTCTTATAAAATGTCAAATAAACAATAAAATCAAAATATCTAAATTAATTTAAGACATTTTATTATAATAAAGAAAAAAGAAGAAAGATAAAATATTAGTTAGATAGTTAGTTAGTATATTATCAGAATATTTTTTTATCAGAAATTCTAATAATTAATTAATTAATTAATTAATTAAATACGAGAGAGATATTTTTATTTTGTTTTACTTCATTTTTCTTTTCTATACAAATAGTAACTTTAATAAAATTTCTGGTGTGAATATTCAAAATCTGAGCCAACAAAAGCTGCAATAAATTATTTATATTCTTTTTTAGATAGGCTATATATTTTAAGAATTCTAAGAAATTTTAAATGTATTTTTGGCAATTATAATTAAAAAATAATTTTTTTGCTATTAAATTTACAATCAGTGGTTATTTCCTTTTATTATCTGTATCTTCTTTGTAAAATCAATAGTATAAATATCATTCATTTTTTAAACATTTAAGTTTATCATTAAATAATTTAAACAGGTTTATAAAAGATATATTCTTGAAATAATAAAAGAAAAGCACTATGAAATATAAAAAAATTAATTTATTTTTTTCTATATGGACGGAATAAAATGCGAGAGAAATTTTGAAAATAAAGAAGCATTTTCTTGAAAGATACATTCATTATTTTTGTATTTCTTCACTGAATCAAGTATATGTAAAATGAATAAAAGCTCCTCTTTTAGGTTCTTAAAAAAAGAAAATTGATAAAAGCTTAAATAATTTTTAAATAAAAAACTAATTTAAAAGACATACATATACATACATATAGGCAATATCTTTTTAATATCGTATTTGTTTAGAAACAAAATGAAAATTAGTTAGATAATTTAATTAGATTATTTATCTATTAATTTGATATTATTAAAATGAAAAAATATGGATATGGGAAACTAACTAACTAATTAAATAAATAAATAAATTTTTGATGTAGACAAACTATTTAATTTAATGTATTTTTTTATACTTATAAATTATTTCTTGAATTTCTTTTAGAAAAGATTATTAATTATCTCAATTCATTTATATAGAAAGGTATTTAATTTTAACTTATTCCAAGCAATAAATTCTGAGTTTTACAATTTTCATCTAAAATTTGTTTTATTTGTTTTCGTGTGTGTGATCAAAAATGATCTTTTCAAAATTAATACTTGTTATATAAGTTTTGATGCAAATATATTGATAAATAGATCGATAGATAGAATATTCTTAAATTAAATTAAATTAAATTAGGATATTTTTTTAGTCTGAGTTAAAAATGATATTTACAATTCATATTTACGCATATAAAAAGTAGACAAATTTTACTTACAAATTAATTGATAGATTTCAGAATATAAATGAATGAATTTACATCATATACTTTTAAGACGCACTCATTAAATAAATTCGATTTGATCTTCTCCATTAGAGAATGTAACGAAGCAAGGGCAGTAAACTTTATTTTCATCATAAGTAAATCTTTGAGAATAAACTCTATTAGGATTGCCTTCTGAATAGTAATCAATTTTGTTTTCATAAGGAGTGACAACAAGAATATCGTCTACATGGAAGTAAACGTTGCTGTCTCCATATGGCCAGTAATCTACTTCTGATTAATAGCAATTTCCATTAGAAGAGCTAAACCATAAGCCACTCTTTTCATCTATCTACTTGATATCTTACTGATAATCTCTGCTTACTATGAGATCTCTTTCACAAAGACCAACTCCAACCCATCTGCATTTATGTACTTTTACCTTAAAGGAAGTTTTAAGGAGATCCTTAGTAATTGGTACGTCAATAATACCAACAAAGTGTCTCAATACTCCTTCAACCTTAGAGAAAGATTTTTCTTCAGGGAGATATTTCATGCAAGAAGGTAAAAGGTATTCTTCATTTTAAATGCTATTTAGGATTTCAGCTGCTAGATTACTTTTTTTTTTAATTTGGTTAGGAGAAAACTTATTAACAGCCTATTCAAATTTTAGTACTATTTCTTAGACCTTCTTGTCGTTGTCTTCAACATAAGAGAATTTTTACTCCCAAGAAAAGCAGTTATTCAAGTATTTCTCTACTTTAACAGAGTCTTTATGGTAATCTGTAAAGAAATCATTAACTGCTTTATCTAAATCAGCTTAATTACCACTTTCGGAAGCTTTAAAAATTATTTAAGCTATTTCTTCAATTTTTGAGTATTTCAAAAGAGATGCATTAGTGCAGGCAGTGTTAGTACAATCCTCAACTTCAAATTTCATTCTCTATTAAATGAGAGCAGTAATTTTTTCCTAAAGCGATTCATAGAAGCTGGTAATTTTAGAAACTTTCTCGTCAACATTTTGCATTTTTAGGCTAGGGATCAATTATTTTTTAGGGTCAGCAAAGCTAAGTAGTTTGAATTGAGCAGATTATTCCATTTTATTCAATGAAGAGAGAGAAACCATAGAGTGATTATGACTTTCATTCTATTCTGTTATGCACTCAGAGCATAAAAATCTATTTTTACTTGTGCATGATTGAGCAACACACAAGAAAATACATTAATTGTCTTAATGATTCAAGCAGTCAATTTTCATTTTGTTTTTTAGCAGAAACGTTTTTATGTTCAAGTTTTTATTTTATTTTATTTTATATTTATTATTATGGATTTTGTTAAAGGTCAATTTAAACTAAGATTTCTGATCAACATGTTCTGTCAAATTTTATTTAGTATAGAAAGAATGTGGAGCTCTTAGAAATAATTACCGACACAATTTTATATTCTTTTATATAGCGTCTTTTTATTGACTAATATTGATGTTTTCTGATTTTATTTCTTTTGATTAAATTAGTTTTGCTAATCTATTTAAAAAAAATTCATTAATAAAAGCTTTATCATTCTCAAGTGGGTAACAAATTAGAAAATACTAAAAATAAAATTGGTATTAAAGCGCCTTTAAGAATAAATCCAAAAGGATATTATCAGATTTATTAACATTTTTTGAATACTTTAACATAGAAAATAATAAAACACAAACTATAAAAACAACAAAATCAAAATAATTTATTAATTAATTATTCTTTCTTCATTTTAAATGAATTATAAATAAATCCTAAATATTTATTTATCTATTTATCTATCTATCTAAATATCTATGTATCTATTTTTAATCTGCTTTTCTACTTAATAAATCTTTAGCAAGATCCTTTTTAATATTTTCGATTTCTAAGTTTCCATGAAGATCTCTGATTGCAAAGATACTCTTAAGATAATTAAATTGGAAATTGTGTTAAGTTAAAAAAAGAAACACTTGAAATTCCCATTTTAATCAAGTCTTTTAAATATTTAATTAAAAATTAATTTGTTTGTTTTTTAAAGTTAATGGATTTGAATTAAAAAAATTGAATGAATTTATTTACTTACCTATTGTTATTATTAGTAAAGATCAATTTAGTTTTTTATATAATTTATTATATTTATAAACTAATGAGATATAATAGTTTTTATAAATTATATAGATAAAATTACTCTCCTGTTTTAGAGATTAGCATTAAAAAATTAAGTAAGGAGAGAATTAATTCAGGATATTTTTTTTTTCTTATCCACTTGAATCTCATGAACTGCATAGTATTTTTATGTAATTATTGATAAATTTGGAAATTTATCTTATTCCTTAAAATATACTTCAATCTCATCATTCCTATTTTATGTTTTCTTCATTTTGTTTGATTCGCTAACATATATATTTCAAATCACTATAAATTAAATTTTTTTACAATAACTTGCGAATAAAATTTATATTAGAAGTAGCTATTTATTTATAATCTGGGCAAATTACCATAAAATTTAAAATATTTATGCCTGGAATGCGAATATTGTGTATTGTAAAATATTCTCAAAAGCCAACTGTATTTGATTCTTGTTATATTTTTAAATAGAAATATTAATAAAATATTACACTAGCTTTTTTGTGATATCTCTTTATAAAAGCAAATTTATAAATTTGTATTTGATATTTATTATTATTTATTTGTTCTTTTAATCAAAATTAATTTGATATAGAAGTGAATTAATTCATTGATACACTAATAATTAATTAAATTTTTATAAATTACTATTCAATAATTTTGAAGAAAAAAAAAAATGATCTAAAAGGAAAAATAATTTTATAATCTAAGAAAAGTAAATATTCATTTTTTATTAATATCCTTAAAATTTATTTTTATTCATAAAAATAGTTTTTAAAATCTTCATATTAATCTCATGAGGTTCTTTATATTTAATTGACAGACAGGTATATTTAATTTATTCAAATTATTATTATTATTATTTTATATTTAATTTTCATTCTATTTACAGTATTATTTTTATAATAGAAATTCTCATTGTCATTCATTTTTAATTTAACTTAATTTTCACTCAATTTTTAATTTTTTAAAATTTATTATTTTTATAAATTTATTTTTTCCATAGCTCTACATTTTTTATTAATTAGTAAAAATTGCAGATTAATTGGATTTATTATGTTTTTTTTCTACTATCTATTATTTTTTACTCTATTAATTTAACTAATTTTTTCATTTTGAATATTTGATTTTATTATTCATTAATTAATTTATTTTTATATTATCATATTTTTCTTCTAATTAATTATATATGTTTTCTTCAATATTTAATAAGG